CTTTAGTTAGGTTTATTTCCAGGTCACAGAATTGCTGTTAACACTAGAAAACACACTTCCTGCACCAACACCAATACCCTTTCAAAAGAGTTGTCTGCAACATTTTTGTTTTCTTTTTTAATGTCCGAAAGTGGGGGAAAGTGCTATTTCCTATTTTAGCCAAAATTGGGGAAGGAGTGCTACTTTCCAGCTCCACTTCAAATTCCTTAAAATATAACTGAGATTGCTGTGGGGAGGGAGGAGGGCAGAGGCTGTGGTTTGACTTGCTAATTTTTCTTTTGTTATTTGTATGTGCTAGTCTCTGATTTCCTCACAACGAAGTGGAATTTACTACTGTTGTCAATATCGATGGTGTTTTGAATGGTGCCTATAGAGATATATTCACAGTTCAAAAGTCAGGTGCTGAGAGATGGTTTAAAGACAAATTCATGAAGGTATATTTTGTGTTATAGTTGTTGATGAGTTCTTTGGTTTTCTGTATTTTTTCCCCCTCTCTTTAAAACATCACTGAAATTTCAATAAATTTTTATTGAAATGTCTTTAGGCCTTGTGTTAAATGCTTTTCTTTGGGAACCTTTCCTGAAGGTGGACAGTCAGGGGAGACTTTACTCTCTTCTTGTTCTGAGTTTACCCCCTTCCCTTCGCCTTTAAATAATTAAGACCGCCCCCAGCGAACCAAAATGAGATGTCACTCAAGTTACAAAGCTAAAAACAAAAGTCCCTTACTTGAGCGAAGGGAGCCACTTCAATCTGAAATTACTTTTCCTTTAAATTAGGGAGCAAAGCGGGGAGACGGAAAGGGGCCTGATGAGAATACAGAAAGAAGAGTGATTTCAGATACTTTCAAATTTTAATGGAAAAAGACTGACATGCTCCCTAAGTTAGGTTTTCCCACCCAAATCCGACCAGAAATAAGCTCGGCAGTACGAATGTTTTTCGTTTTAAGCTCGCCCTCCCTTTTGACATCAATCTGGCGAATCCAAGTCAAAAATATCTTCTTGCACCAGTGTGTTTGGCTCGGGGAAAAGGCCAGCAGAATCCCCCAGCAGTCCGAGCGGGCTTGGCTAGGCAGCAACCCTCCAGGTTGTAGAAGTGGACAAGACGCAACGCCTTTCCACTCCGCAACCCCCCACATGCCCTGCAGTCCCTGGTGCCTCAAATTGAACCCGGCTGGCCCAGGGCGCCCCTACGAGGCCCCATCCATCCCGAGTTGTGCGTGCGAAGCGCGGCCAGCTCCGCGAAAACTTAGCTGTGTCACGCGAGGGAGGAGGGAAATTATTCCTGAAAGGGGAAAGGTAATTCCAGGGTGCACATTTCACCCCCTCCAAGGCAAAAGTCACCCAGGAGGCTGACATCCTCCCCTAGTCTCCCCTTCAAACCAGTCTCCAGGCTGTTCGGGGAGTTGCCTTTTGAAGTTCAATTTATCTTTGAAACATTCAATAAAAAATGAGGAGGCGCTGTCAGTCTTTTGGTCTCCCGACCCCCAGCCTCGCCTCCGAGGTGTGTGTCTGTTGGGGGGCGGGGGCGGCACGGGAAGGTTCGAGGGTTAGTCCATAGCCCTTTTCTTGCCCTGGGGGCCATGACGTGAAGACCCAGCTGGAGCCTGCCTGGCGGCTGCCTCCCTCCCCACCCCCCAACCCCCACCCCCTGGAGCCCGCCAGCCCGGCCCCACGTCCCTGTCACCTTCAGGCCTCTTGAATGACCGGAGAGGAGGACACCCCCTCCCTTCCCTCATCCTGTACTTGGAAGGGATCGAGGTCGAGACCTTTTGGAGAGCGGGGCAAAGCCCCTTCCATCTCTGGCCAGGCACGTGGGGACCCCTACGGCCTCCTCTGCGATATCTCCCGGGGGTGGGAGGGAAGACAGACAACCAGAGTATGTTGGTGCAGAGTTGGGGGGCGGCGGGGTGCGCTGCGGGGGTGGCAGGGCCAGAGCCGAGACGGGGCCTGGGGACCTTTGAGGCGGGGGCTCCCCGGAGGACTGGGAGATGTTCAGGGCGCGCACCTTCCGCGCAGCGGCTACAGCCTAAAGGGGCCAGCTCTGGATCCAGCGACAAGGCGCGGTGTCCGCGCCTCTGAGAAGGTGGTGGTTGGCTGGTGGCGCCCAGCGGCGCTCTCCCGAATTGGGGAAAAAAGAACTCAGCCTCAAAGAGGGAAGAAATGCTTTTCTTTTCTCTTCTTTCTCAGTCCAAAGTTGCTTACCTCCTCCCCTCTCTCCCCCCACCCCCGATTTGGGGACCCTGCTCAGACGTGTGTCCAGTCTCTCTTACTGGCGTTCTTTTTTTTTTTTTTTAAATCTCCTGTGTATCTCATTTGTATATTGTGATGTTAATGAGTAACTCCTGTGGCGCTGATGGACAGGGGTGAAGGGGATGAACGGCTCGCAGTCTCTCTGGATTTTGCTGCCTATTACTCACCTGGCGCCGGTCGCAATCTCGCCGCAGGCTTTATGGTGGCTGCGGCCGCCCCAGAGGCCACTCAGGGCAGGCGCCTTCGCCTTTTTTCTAGGCTTCGAGTGCCACCTATCTGTCTCGTCTACGAATGCGTCCAGGTCGCCGCAGCTGGCTTGGCACCCCAGCGCCTCTCGGGTTCCGGAACTTGGGCACTTCGCCTTTGCTCCTTCTCATCCCCCCCAACTCCTAGCCCCACTCCCCTCCTCCTCCGTCCCCAGCCCCATTTTCAGCCTCGGAAGAAGCCGCCTTCCCCTCTTTCCTGCATATCACTTTCACTCCTGTTTGTGCCTCAGATGAGAAAAACAGTCCTGCCCTCCTCTGGGTTTCCAAAGAATGTTAGAAAACTCAGTGCGGGAACCCTGGCTCATAATTCTCTGGACAAGTTCCTTGCTGCTTCTTGTAGATATCTCTAGACCCTTGTTCTGGACCCCGCTTGGCAGGAGATAACCTGAATTCGCGATGGGTGGATAGAGAAAGGATACCTCCTTCCCCAACATACACACCTCAAATTCTGCCCTGGGGACAACTTCCTTGTACCAGGGCTCTCTTTTTTACTCTACAACTTTGGAAGTTTTTGTTTTTTAGCCTGGCCGAGTCTACAAGGACAAAGGCCGTGACTCGCGGGAGCAGCAGTCCCTACGAGGGTCAGCCTGCAGGGCCCAGCGCCTTCGTGATTTGTAGATTTAAGGTGACAAATGCGGGTGCCGGTCAGAGGCCTCCAACCCCTGCCTGTCGGGAAGGTCGGCTCCAGTCCGGGCTGCGCCCTGGCGTCTGAGACCGGCGGAGGGGAGGGGATGGGGTCGCCTTTTGCTGTGCTTTGAGCCGCGGGTGAAGGCGTCCGGGTTCCTGCTGACCTCCCGGCGCTAATTGCAGGGGCCGAAGGGCGCGCTCGGGCAGAGGCAGGGGTCACGACCTTGAGGCTCCCTCCCCCCGAGGTCCCGGCAACCCGAAGGAGCCGGGTGTGTGCAAGAGGGAGTGTGTGTGTGTGTGTGTGCGCGCGCGTGCTCGCGCGATTAGGGCCTCTCTCTGTATCTGCGCTGTTCTGGGACCCACCCTTTCTTTGCGGGGACAGTTCCCGACGTGTAGGTCCTTAAAAAAAATTCCATCCAAGAAGGAAAATCCAGGTTCTGACCTTTCCCCTAAGCCAGCAGACAGATAGCCGCCTTCAGGCTGCTATGAGAGGCTTGCAACGCTTCACGACAGCGCGCTTTCTGCCTCGCTGGTTTCCAATGTGACCTCACGGCAACCAGCCAAGAGAGTGGCTGTCGGGGTGCAGCTGCGAGGTCGCCAGCGGCGACCTGGGCTCTTCTGTAGGTAGCCCAGTATGTACTCCTATCTATGGGTAGCTCTTGGGTGTCTGTGTTCTGAGACCAGGAACTGCAGGTGTTAGAAGGATATGTGTGTGTTTGCGTGTAGCTGTGCGTGCTCCATCTGTAGCTGTCTCTTCCAATTTGGGTTTAGAAGTTCATGCGCAAGACAGTTCCGGATGTAGATGCATTTGGTTGTTTTATAATCAAGATGCGTATAATCAAGAAGTATATGTTGCAGATGTCGGCGTTCAAAGTACACGAAACAAGAATAATATAAATACTTGGCATACAAGGGGCACGTGCACAAGCCAGGCACTCAGTGAAGCACCCCATAAAAGTGACCCCCTTTAGCCTTCACAGTTAACCCTATAAAGTATATATGATCTTTATCTCTGTTTTACAAGAGAGGAAACTAAGGCATAGACCGTTAAATCACTTACCCAAGATTCACTGGGGAAATTATGGAGCCAAGATTCAAACCGAAGTGGGCTCCAGGATCCACTGTAATTCCCTTTCCTAATTCAGGTGGAGGTGTAAGTACCTGCGGTGCATATGTCCCGGATTTACAGAAATCTGAGGGGATGTTCTGGATTTTGGAGTGCGTCGCAAGCTTTTTTGTTTGTTTGTTTTAATACGAGAACGTTTAAATTTCTTTGTACATCTGTCGTGCAATGTACAAGGACAGCTTTTATTTCAGCGTCCCACTCCCCGGCCAACCCTCTTCTGTGTCCCGGGACACCCGTCCCAGCTAAGACCGCGGTTTTGGGGCCTTTGTTCCCAGGTAGAGGAAGAGAGAGGTTGAATGGGGAACGCAAGACTCTATTTAAAAATGCCTGCGGCGGGGCACTGAAGCTGATCGCGTTCTCGTCCTGATCTGAGCCGCGAGGGAAACCGCGGGGGAGAGGAAATTACAACAGAGCTGGCGTGCGCCGGGGCCGCAGGACGACCACCACGCTGACGCCGGGGTTTCCCTCTCCCGCGGGGTCTGGAAGCAAGACTTGGGCTTTGGGTGTCTGAGGCTTTCTCTACTCGCCTCAGATCCTCCCCCGCGTGCCTAGCATTTGCTGTGTTCTGTCTACCCAGGAGCGAAGGCCGAGCGCAGTCCGGGGACTGCAGGTGGAGACGCCGCAGGCACGGAGATCTTCGCTCTTTCTGTGTTCAACCCTGCCCAGCTTCCAGTAACCTACAAAATTTTAGTTTTTTCTGCCCTCTCACTTCCAACGTTTTGGTCCCAGCTAGAAGCCCATGGGTTCAGCTGGTGGAAAGAAGGATTCTACCGAGAAACCGGCGAGGGGGTGCCAATATGGTGCAGCCCTGCGAAGGAAAAGCGCCGCCTGGTTACCGGGCGATGCGGCCCAGGTTTCCGCAGCCTGGACAACTGCAGGCCCCACGGCCCTAGACAGCCAGAGCTTGGGTCTGGCTGCACATTGGGTAAGGGTGGAAATAAGTGGCTTGAGTAGGGAATAGCGCCTGCCCCTAAAACGTAAGGCTCTTCTGTGCCGCGGCTGGGGTGAATTCTGACTGCCTTTGGGTCCTGGGTCTCCCCAAAGCGGGGAATAAGACTCAGGCGCAGTCTCTGGAATGGGGGGCAAAAGAGAGGAAGGTTTTGGTGCGGGTGGAACCCAACCAGTTGGAATCTGGACGGGTACTGTCCGGGCGGTCCGGCTCTTCCCCTCACTACCCCCACTCCCACCATGGCCCCCCCATTCCAGCGCTCCCAGTCAGCCTGTCTCTTTGAGCTTTTGAAATGCGATCCCCGCGCCACTTCGGTTTCCCGCTAATGACCCAGGCTCTGGTTTCGGGTTGGGGAATTTCACCCGGAAGACAGACTGGCTTCCCCAGGCCCGCACAGTCAACTCTAGCCTAGGTGCTCTTCGCGCCCGTGCGGCGGGCCCAGGAAGTTCCACCCCTTGTCTCCCAAAGGTCCCCAAAGCGTCAGGAACACCGCAGGCACGGAACTGACAGTCGGGCGCGAACTTTTTTCCTAACACTTTTGCGCATTGTCCACCCCAGTCCCCACCGCGGGCATCTTTGACAAAACTTTTTTTTTTTTTTTCTTTCTATGCCGGGACCAGGCGCCCTTCACTCGCGCAGAAGCGCCAGCTGTCTCCGGTCGTTACCTTAGTCACCCTCAACCTCCGACCCTCCCAACCCAGGCATACAGCCGCAGTGGGAGCCTGTTAGAAGCACCAGCGCTGAGTATGTATCCGCCAAATGGCGCACCCACCACCCCAACCGACACCCGGCTTTCCCCCCACCCTGCCCCCCGGGCACCCACTCCTCCAGAGCCAGCACCCTTGAGCTAATTGGGGATGAGTCCCAGGGCTAGGACTTCGAATAGGAAGAGAGTGCTCAGGACTTCCCGTGAATCCCCTGAAATCATACGCAGGTTTGTTATTGTGCAGAGGTGCACATTTCTCGACGGGATCCTACAATTTATCTCAGATTCTCAGAAGTGTGTGAGCCCAAACAAATTAAGACGCTCCCATCACTGCTCCGGGAACAACACGAAATGGGAGGATTGGGGAACATTTAAAGTGGTCCCTCACGATTCTAGTCTTGGCTAAGCAGAATTTAACTTTAGAAGTGTTCTCTTTGTGTCTCTCAGGGAAGGACGCTCTTTCCTTGCTTATCTTAAATAGTCTCCAGACCCCAAGGCCTCGGGCATTGTATAATTTGTTGAGTAATTAATGATATTAACTTATCAACTCAATGGTTATGAACAATCATTATCGCCCTCCAATGAATTCTATGTTAATTTCCTGTTGCTAGGGCCACCCCCACTGGGCTATCACAGGTAATAAAAGGAAACCACTCTTCATAAAACAACGTTGCTTTTTAGTAGGTGCCTCCCACCTCAAGATCAAGGGTAAAACGAGCTACAGGGAGTCCGCTTCATGGAGAGACTATTGGGGTCCAGGTTGAGGGTTCCCTGGCCCCTGCACCCCCACATCTTCCACCTCCACATACTTCAGGATGACATTTGCTATGGACAGGTTTCACCCATGTTTGGGTCTTCAGAAAGGCTTAGTTCTTTCCATACCTGGTGTGTGTGTGTGTGTGTGTGTGTGTGTGTGTGTGTGTGTGTGTGTGTTTTACCCTTATTCTTGTGATTACTTGGAGAGGGGCTTGAATTTTGGAAAATCAGAGTGGATAGTTTGGAAGCGGGTAGTTTGGGGCCTGAGAATCACCTGAATATTTTCCTTGGGGCAAAACTGAACAAGCGGGAGGCTTGGACCTCTTTCAGTGCAGGTAATTCCCTTTCTCTTCCTTGCTCAGCAAAGCCTAGAACAAAGTAGGCACCTGCCTGAAACATGTGTGTGGGTCAAGTTTAAATGTGCCCAGGGGTTCCACTAGTTTGGAAGGCAGAGGTTATAGTGGTTCCAGTGCATGTATTTTCTCTCTGTCATTGTCTCCTTCTTGTATCTCTTTCACTTTTTATTCAGGCAAACATACCAACCACACATGAAAATTCACAGACATAAAGGAATAGTGTAGACACTGCAGAATGTTCAAGGGAAAAGATAGTTATTCCTCTTTCCTCCCCTCTGTTAAAATAGGATCACAGGGAAGTCCCTTGTCACTCTCAGGCCCTGACTAAATAAATGTCTCTTGGCGGTGCTTGGCCACTTAGGGATGGATTTCTTCCTGGCGTCAAGGAAATCAAGACAATTTTCAAACAAAATGATGTAAACCAAGGCTACCCACTCCTCTCCACTGCCACCATCCCACCCCCAACACTTCTGTTTCAGTTGTTGCAACAAGAAATTCCCCTGCCCACCTCTATTCTACTCCAAACTTCCCTTCAAGGCAAATCACAAAAGTATGGATGATGAGGCCAGTGTTGGGTGACAGCCTGTGTCTGCCTCGTCAGCAGCTGGGGACACGATACCTTTTCTCTATTTGTCAATAAAAAGGTCATTTCTTCACTGGTTTTCCTTGCCATTAAAGTTCTTCTGGTGTTATTTCTTCCGTTTCTTGAAACATCCTTGTCTCTGAGGTGGGGCAAAGACGTCAAAACAGAGAGGGAGGACTGCAGTCTGTGAGCACTACCTCTTGGTTCCTCCTGAATGGGGAGGGGGTGGAGGTGGAGTATAGGGGAAATGCAAACTACCTGTTTTGCAAAGATCAAGGAAGAGAGGATACATAAATAAAAGAAACGCCAAGTGTTTGCCTCTGCCTTTGCTAAGATGCTGTTTTGCCGCCATCTGCTGGTGTCATGGGAAAGTGCATGAGGCTTTTCTAATACTTCTGGGCGGCTGTCACATACTCATTTATCTATCATTCATTTATTCAGCAATTAATCATCACCAGGACATGCTCTCTGTTCTCATGGAACTTGCATTCCAGTGAAGCAAGCCCCGCGGCCATTCCCTGAAAACTAAGAGATAGAGAGAATGTGTGTCCTTTGGCCAGGTGGCTTAACTTTTCTGGGTCTGAATTCCTTATAAAATAAAAGTGGAATAATGATACCCACATCCTTACAGGCAGATGTGCTGTAAAGAGCAAGGGACAAATATCCTTGCAAAGCACCTGCTCCGTCAGTAGTTTCTACTTCCTTCCCCTTTCGGGAATTCCAGCAAAGGCAGAATTTATTTAGGTAGCTTTGTGTGTGTATGTGAGGCAGGGTCTCAATCTGTCACCCAGGCTGGAGTGCAGAGGCACAATCTCAGCTCACTACTTCTACCTCCTGGGCTCAAGCAATTCTCCCACCTCAGCCTCCCAAGTAGCTGGGACTGTAGGCTTGTGCCACCTTGCTCGGCTAATTTTTTTGTATTTCTGGTAGGGACAGGGTTTTGCCATGTTGCCCAGGCTTGTCTTAAACTCCTCAGCTCAAGCAATCCACTGGCCTCAGCCTCCCAAAATCCTGGGGTTACAGGCGTGAGCCACCATGTACAGACTTACTTAGCACTTTTTCCCTCTTGAGCGTTTAGAAAATTGCTTCATCTCCTATGCCAATTTCCAATTTCACCAATCTCCATCTATTTAATTCAACTGATATTTATTTATTTATTTATTTATTTATTTATTTATTTATTTATTTGCTGAGACTGAGTCTTGCTGTGTCATCCAGGCTGGAGTACAGTGGCGTGATCTCATCTCACTGCAACCTCCACCTCCTGGGTACAAGTGATTCTGTCTCAGCCTCCTGAGTAGCTGGGATTACAGGCATGTGCCACCACACCTGGCTTATTTTTGTATTTTCAGTAGAGATGGGGTCTCAGCATGTTGGCCAGGCTGGCCTCGAACTCCTGACCTCAAGCGATCCGTCTGCCTAGGACTCCTAAAGTGCTGGAATTACAGGCATGGGCCACTGTGCCTGGCCTCGATATTAATTGAGTCAAGATTCAGTGTGTGGGTTTAAAATACTCCAAGATGAGTAAGATGAGGTTGGTCTTCCAGTTAGCTGTCTTTTTTTACGAGGCCTCCTGGTACTGCACTTACTGAGAGAGGTCTGGGATGATTGTGCCAATTCTAGCTGCTGCTAGCAGCCTTTCCCACCAGTGGTAATCCTGGCATTATGGGGTTCCCCAAATCCACTCCTGACTGCCTCCCCTCAAACCCATTGGTCATATCACACAGGACCGACCCCAGGGCCCTCATCAGCTTCCTGTTTCAGTGACTTCTGTGGCATCAAGTCAAACCTTCCCTGCCTCCTACGGCATGCCTGATCTGGCCCCCACTTCTCTCTCCAGACTCACTTTGCTCTCTATTCTTATTTTATTTTATTTTATCTTATCTTATTGTATTGTATTTTTTGAGATGGAGTCTCGCTGTGTCACCCAGGCTGGAGTGCAGTGGCATGATCTCATCTCACTGCAACCTCTGCCTCCCCTGCCTCAGCCTCCCAAGTAGCTGGGATTAGAGGCATGCACTACCATGCCGAGCTACTTTTCCCTTTTTTTTTTTTTTTGAGATGCAGTCTGGCTCTGTCACCTAGGCTGGAGTGCAGTGGCAGGATTTCGGCTCACTGCAATTTCTGCCTCCCAGGTTCAAGCAATTCTCCTGCCTCAGCCTCCTGTGTAGCTGGGATTGCAGGCACCTGGCACCATGCCTGGCTAATTTTTGTATTTTTAGTAGATGTGGTTTCACCATGTTGGTCAGGCTGGTCTCAAACTCCTGGTCTCATGATCTGCCCACTTCAGCCTCTGAAAGTGCTGGGATTACAGGTGTGAGCCACCGCGCCTGGTTGCTACTTTTTGTGATTTTAGTAGAGACCAGTTTCGCCATATTGGCCAGGTTGGTCTCAAGCTCTTGGCCTCAGGTAATCCTCCAGCCTCGGCCTCCCAAAGTACTGAGATTATAGGCATGAACCATCACACCCAGCCTATTTTATATTTTGAGACAGAGTCTTGCTCTGTCGCCCAGGTTGGAGTGCAGTGTCACGATCTCTGCTCACGGCAACCTCCACCTCCCAGGTTCAAGCAATTCTCATGTCTCAGCCTCCCAAGCAGCTGGGTTTACAGGCGCCTGCCACCACAACAGGCTGATTTTTTGTATTTTTAGTAGAGATGGGGTTTCGCCATGTTGGCCAGGCCGGTCTCAAACTCCTTGTCTCAAGTGACCCACCTGCCTCGGCCTCCCAAAGTGCTGGGATTACAGGCGTGAATCACAGTGCCCGGCTTCTTTAAAATCAAACTATGTTGTCCAAGTCATCATACTTCTTTTCTCCTACTCAACATCTTTGCACATGCTGTTCTCTTAGCCCAAGGTTTTTTAGCCTTGGCACTCTTGACATTTCGAACGGGATGATTCTCTGTTGTGAGGGGCTGTCCTATGCACTGTAGGATGTTTAGCAGCAGCACTGGCCTCTACCCACCAGCTGCTAATAGCATCCTCTTCCCTAGTTGTGACAATAGAAAATGTCTCCAGGCATTGACAAGTGTCCTGGGTCGGGGGAGAAGAGGCAAATCACCCCTGGTTGAGAATCACTGCTTTAGCCTGAATTCCTTCCCCACTTTTTTTTTCTTTCTTTCTTTCTTTTTTTTAAATTATTATTTTCTTTTGAGACAGGGTCTTACTCTGTCACTCAGGCACTGGAGTGCAGTGACATCATCACGGCTCACTGCAGCCTTGACCTCCTGGGCTCAAGTGATCCTCTTACCTCAACCTCCCAAGCAGCTGAGACCACAGGCACACACCATCACACCCAACTAATGTTTTGTTTTTTATAGAGACCGGGTCTCACTGTGTTGCCCAGGCTGGTCTCGAATTCCTGGGCTCAAGTGATCCGCCCACCTCAGCCTCCCAGAGTGTTGAGATTACAGGCGTGAGCCACCCAGCCTGGCCCCCACTTTCCCTTCGGCTTCATTTTAGCACATGCATCACTTTGTCCAGAAAATCTTTCCTAGCCTCCCACACTGCTTTAGGTCTCCCTGTTACAGGTTTTCAGGGCCTCTAACTCCTCTTCTACTGAGCAGATAATAATTATAATTAGATAACAAATTCCATAATGAGATATTTAGTATATGTACCCCCTAGGGGAGCATAAACAACCCATGGCAAGGACCTGGTGGGCGTCATTCACTGACCTGCTATCAGGAGACCAGGCAAATAATGGGCAATTAGTGAGGGCTTCTTACAAGATCACCAGCAACTGATCAAAGCTGACCTCAAAGTCTGTTTAGCTGCATTTCCTCTACTTGAAATATTTGGGTCATTTGGGACTTTTCCACTTGTCATTCCAGCCTTTCTCCGCTGTCCTTTCAACAGCATCAAT